ACCCACACAGAGCTGAGGCCGAACCCCCTCCTCCTCCCTTTTATCATATGAAAACGGGGTCTCACACTCTGTAAACTCCATTAGTAACTTGTAATGTTCTAAAGTCTGTACTTTGTTTTTATTTTATTGAGTTCAATGAAATGTTTATTAACAGGAAATAGGAGAAAAGCAAGCAACCAAATAAATCAAAACCTTTATTAATCTTTTCATTATCATCACCATCATCATCACCATCATCATCACCATCATCATCATCATCATCATCATCATCATCATCATCATCATCATCATCATCATCACCATCAACTTTATTTTTAGAGCACTTTAAATCAAACATATATATATCCCTGTACCAAATAAAACATTAAACAGAATTTCAATATAAAAAAAAAATCATACCCATTTGATTATATTTGACACTTTAAGATCTTTCCACGTTATTTAGCCCTCTATATATCTAACCCTAAAACTCACAAAAGTAGTAAATAGTTCACATTCTCTGATATTACCAGCAAGTAACGGCCCAAAAAAATCCCACAATTTTTCTGGAAAACAGTGGTGCTTCAGATGTTAAATATTTGCACAAATGTAAATAATGTATCTGTGTTACTTCAGGTAACAAATCAGAATTTTCAGTTGTGAATAAGGTTGGCCAATTTTTAAACAAATATGTTTGAGAATTTAACTTTATGCATCAATAGATAAGCATTTAAGATTTTTTCTATTAATTAAAGAACAAAGCTGTTAATAACATACATATTTTCCCCATCCAATTACAAGTACAAGAAACCTAAAAAGGCCTCTAACCATCATCAATCATGTGACAAAATACACTGTGTTTTAAAGTATGATTCTTCATTGATCTCAATTTACAAAAATTCTGGCCATTAACAAGCTGACAATCAGGGTAACAGATGATGTCAGACAGCCTGAAGCCTCATTTCTTTGGATTTGTGCACCTGCAAAAAATACACAAGTAAGGAGTATGTCAATCAGTCATAATAATATACCTGCCTTTACAAAGCATAGAAAGCTTTAGAGAACTTTACCAGTCTTCTGTTGTGATCTGAGGACTAGTGGCCCAAGTGATAGAGCTGCAGAGTCATGGTAAGATATGTCCCTCTGGAATCGGCTGTGGTGTCCAGGATAGCAGTGCTGCAACAGAAGCAAGACGTTATTTAAAGCCTTTGGAGTTGCATAGTGTGATACATGATATAGCTGCGCTAAGCACACGATGCCACTTACAGCTGTACAGTTGTTGTTTCTCAGGAGACACAAATGTACACTGCAGTGCAAGAACATCTCTGTGTGGTTGGTAAAGGTGAACATTCTGAAGGAGAAACGCGCTACAGTGGAGACACCGTTTTGAATCATCTCTACTGTTCCATCTTCTGGATTAGGACACCTGAGTAACAACACAGATGCAGGAGTTAGAATTTCATCCAGCAGAGAGTAAAATAACAATGTAAGGTTATAAGAGACAATATTTCCTCATTTACTGTGAAATAATGAGATTCCAGCGAACAGGGTAGTTGGCCTGATTGACTGGTGTGGCCCAGCAAGAGTCCAGAACCGTGGAAAACTGACGCTGATCCACTCCTTCTGTTCTCACTTCCACATAAAACATCTCATCAACCTCCATTTCTATGTTTCTGTTAGTGCTGAGTGGGAAGAGGAAGTTTTCGTCTTCATATGGGATCATTCTCATACGATATGATCCGGTGCCAATTGGAAGCTTCTTCCTCAAAATGCTGCAGAACAAACATTCATTGGACCATCTGGTTTAATATCTCTGATAGCCTAAGAAAGCTATTTCTTTAAGTAATTTGAGTGTACATAATTACTGGTTACAGTACAACATACAGAATTAGAACTGGAAATAAAAAAACGGTAATACCTCTCAAGAGGATTAATACCAACAGCCATTGACAGTGCCTGGGCCAGAGGGTAAATACAGGAGAACTGCAGATGAAGGTTTCTCTGACGGCTGATTAGACCTCCATGAGGATCCACGTTCCCCTGAATGGTGTTCTCGTACATGAAGTGAGTTCCATTGCTCTAAACAGTGAAATAAACTCATGTCAGTTGATTGTAGTAACATAGTTTTACTCTTATAAAAGATGCTGTGAACTGTACCCTCAGAGCTGTCCCACACAGATGGTTGTCATTGTCAAAGTGGAAGACCAGGCGTCCGTCCTGCAGAGTCCCATTGCAGGAGGAATCTCGTAGGTGGAGAGCAGTGGGATGGAAGCCAGCTTCAAAAAGCTGACAGCGAGATATTGACATGTTGCCTGAACTGCTGGCACATTGGATGCTTGAGTCTGCTCAGGAACACAACAGGTTTAGTGACCAGCTTATGCAGTAAATAAGAAGGATTGTGCGTTAAACTTTGGGAGAAACAGAACTGAAGTCTCAGTGTGAAAATGTTGAATCATGCAACTCTTCATGTGAGGAAAAAAAAGATTTGATTGGGTTTTTATTACCGTAGCTCTCATTGTTGGGTCTATGATGGTGCTCATCACAGAAGCAGCCGTATACACCATCTTTCTTTCCACACCACTCGTAATCTGCACA